ATATCCTAGAAGGAATCCTTTCATGGAACCTAAAGAAATCTATGATACTAGACCTTCTAATATAATGAATAGGATCCTCTCCTAAACATAGACTAGATATATTACTAAATCCTAAAAATGTGATATGACTAAAACTATAGCACACTAAAGTCTCAATCCTAAAAACTAGAACATCTTGCCTAAAGTACCCTATGTGGTAACCTAGGCATTTCCTAGAAAATAAGGAAAATACTACTAAGAAATTTCCTAAACAATTTTGGATTATATTATTTGTTGGATAGTTATGAAAAGAATTTGTCACAAGGAACCTTGAAGGTTCATATGTTATATCCAACAAATAATATATTCCATAAATTGGGTGCATTATTGACACAACTAAGGTAGGAAAAGTCCTACACAAAGGAAGGCTATCTACCTTGGGCACCACCAAGGAAGTAGCATGAGAAGTGGAACTAAGTGAAGTCCACTTCTCCTTCACCAAATCTTGAAGTTGAGACTCTTTTTCTTTAAAAATAATGGATTTATGAATCTCCTCTTCAAGACTAGTGGCAGAATGAGGGCAAGAGTTAAGATCTTTATGAATAAAGAGAATTTTTTTCATAGGATTTTTAGTACTAAAACAATTCTCTTTAGTCACAAATCCTTTAGAGGATATTTCTTCCTCTTTACTCTTCCCTGCACAAAGTTCTTTCTTTTTTTCTATTTCTTCTTTTCTTTTGATTTTCATTTGTCTTCTTCTTTTGTGTTTTCTCATGTCTTCTTTCAATTTTTCTTCTTCTTGTTTAAGAATTCTCAACTTCTCATCTAGGATAGCAAGTTTGGCCTCTCTTTCAATTTTCTCCTTCTCTTTTTGAAAGGCCTCTTGCTTCTTCCATAGTTTAAGTGATTTTAGCTCTTTTGTTAAGTAAGAAATGTTTTTAGGAGAGCTATCACTTCCACTATAGTTGGATTGTTGAGACATTTTAAACAACAAGATTTTTCTCTTCACACAAAAAGAGATTTTAAGAAAATAATATTTTTGGAAGTGCTAGACTTGGCACTTGGAGGTCTAAGAGTACAAATTGAACTTTGGAGGGAGGTGAGCTACTAAAAAGCCACTTAATAACCAAGCCTCTTCAAGTAAAAATCTCTAAACCCCTTTGTACGTTTGCCTTGCACAAAGCAATTTTCACAAAGATATTTTCAAAGAGAAAATAACACACAAGTGCCTAAAGTGTACAATTAATCAATGCTTGAAAACATAAAGTGCTTGAAAACATAAATGGCATG